TTTCTATCTATGCAATGAGACTCAGTGCTCAGTCTAGAAGATACCATCAGAGATGCTTAGTTTTGCAATTCTCAAACTGTGGATTTGTGTCTCCAGAGATAACATGCTTGTTAACAGCAAAAATGGTTTTAAATAAATAAATAAATAAATAAATAAAGGTCAGAAATAATAGACCTCAACCCTATTGTCCCTCTGCAAATTTGTGTGGTGTGGAAAAAATATTTTCTTCTTTTGGACTAATTCATCCAAATTGAGAAACTGTTTGAGACCTGAAAAAGCAGGAAAGCTTGTTTTTCTTTTCCAGATTATGAACAAACAGGAAAACGAAGGTGAAGACAACTGAGTTAGCTGCAGAAGCCAATATTTTAAGTTTCTCATGTTGACTTGGCTGACAGTCTATTTAATTTGGGGTTTTTTTTGTTTTTTAAAATATTTCATTTAACTATTTTAGTTAAAAACAATTTTAATAAAAACAAACCTGATTTAAAAAAACGTGAATGTTTAAATTCAAAAATTCATATGCTTGTTTTATTAAAATATTATATGTTTGCCATTGAGGAAAAAAATCCAGAATAGATAACGTTGTTGTTTTAGTTAAATAAAACAATATAAATGTTTGTCTGGTGATGTTCTCCTCCTAATACAGCATGGCAAGAAAATACTCCAAATATTAATGATTAATGTGTTGAATTGGAGATAGTTCACCTCCCAATGACTTCATAAATATCTGCTTCAATTACCTGAAATAACCAAACAATTATTCATTTTCTGATATAGCTGTAAAACTAATCTGAAAAGTTTTCAAAATAAATCACCTTCTAAAAATGAAACCTACATCTATCTCTGAGTTGTGAAGGATATGTATTAAGGTTATAACAACCAACAAGAATGCACTTTTATGTAGAAATCCATGATTAAATCGAGTCTTCTTGACTAGTGATTTAAATTATGATTTAAATGAATTTGATTTAAATCAAATCCACCCTGAGGGAAACTGAGGCAGAGAAGTTAAGTGACTTGCTGAAGGCCGCACATGGCAATCAATATCTGGGTTGGGATTACAGCTCAACAATCGCTGGTTCCCAGTTCTGTGACCGGTCCACTTCAGCACACTGATGCTAACAATAGCTACATCAGATTTATCCTAGTTTAATTATTAGAATTTGTAATTCCAATGCGTGATGATGCATAAAGTCAAAGCACTTGCCACGTTTAAAATTACTAGGTAATTCATACTCTAGATATTTTTTCCTTCTGCCTGGGATTTTTAGAATAGCTGTAAATTATAGCACAACAGTTTGAACAAAAGCCACTAGGGGAAGTTCATACCGTTCTATATAGCGTGCTGATGCAGTAGAATCTGAGCCACAGGAACTCCATCTTGAATCAACAGCATTGACGTAAGGGACATAATCTAGAACAAATTAAAGTACAATTAAATGTCTTCCCAATTTCAATAAGAGAATATGCATATACACAGAGTTATTAACTGTCCACAGCAGTGATCTAAACGGCTGTGTGGCATATGCGGTGCTGGCAATAGGAAGCATTTACTGTACCTGACACACTGATGGGCTTAGTAGCACTTCCTTGGGAAGCAGTGGCCTGAATAGGATCTGTTGTGTGATAACCTGTGCGGGATGATCTGGAGATTGCACCCCACTTGGAGATGATCGGTCCATCACTAAAGGGAATTATAGGATCTTCTTCCTTTGCCCTTCTTTGAGTTTCAAATAGATGAACTCTCCTCTTAACATCTCCACTGTCCAAATCCTATACATTTAGGAGAGACAAGAAGGTACAAGAGGCTGATTTGCAGTTCAACACATTTGGTTGGGTCATTCAAAAGGCCAGGGGTCATTAAATAACCATTATTACACAAGGTGATTAGCTCCAACCTGACCAGCCAGCAAGCTGGGAGGGGACAGAATGACTCTTACCTATCGGGATTTAGTGGCCAGCTGGCACCAGACGGTGATTAACAGTGGAACAGGACACACTTCTCTTTTTTTTAAAGCTTTACTGTTTCCTCTCAGAAAAAAAGCCCAGCTGCTGTAAAACACCATTTCCACAGTATGACCCTAAACATCCTTGCTAATACTGAGGAAGGTGGGGTAGAGCTAGCAGAGAATTGAGACAGGATTGCCCTTATGGTGCAGGATGCATGAGCGGCAGCTACTTGGGCCTGGGTCCACACTAACCCCCCACTTCGAACTAAGATACACAACTTCAGCTACATGAATAACGTAGCTGAAGTCGAAGTACCTTAGTTCGAACTTACCGCGGGTCCAGACGTGGCAGGCAGGCTCCCCCGTCGACTCCGTGTACTCCTCTCGCGGAGAAAGAGTACCGGCGTCGGCGGCGGGGACCTCCCGGGTCGCTC